CAACAAATTAAAAACATCTCAGTGTAAGGAGCCCCTCCCTCAGTAAGGATACTTCCAAGTCATGGTGAGCCACTGTACCATATAAATTTCAACTTCCTCTTCAATCCCACAGCCGAGCTTCACCTTTCTTTCCCCATTTCCAATGATTCCCGCTTCTCCTCCAGTCTTAACCAAATGGGGCCCCAAACACTTTACACAGAATCCTCTGTCACCCCCTCTCAAATATTATTAGTGTGGCCCCACCCTCCATGAAGTAAAGCAGGACTAGGCAGCCCTGCACTTGATCTGCATATTAATTTTTGGAGGATCCTAGGACTCATGACTGGAAACAGATGTTCTTGTCATGAGTGGGTGGCTAATTATCACATGGTTTTTTTGTGGGGGCATAGTATCTGGAATATCTACTGAGCTGCAAGGTCACCATGGCTAGAATTGCTGTTGACTCTGGTGGGGCCCAGCCCAATGACCTATATGGTAAATCATGCACCTTTTGGCTTTGAACTAATACCATGCATAGTTTGCACTACATATAAGCAGATGCCAAAGTGCTACTTGAATGTGCCTTTATGGAATATCTGTGCTAAAACTTGCAGCAGTTTCAAAAAAGGTAACAGCACCCAGTAATTATAGATGAATTAAGATTATAGATACTAAATGCAAATTACTACAGTTATGTTTAATTTCAGTCAGTGTCTTCAAATTTGCTTCTCATTTCCATGTGTTCAGGGTCTGACAGGAAGGCGGTGGGGAGAGGAGGACTTAAGGGGGAAGAAGTTAGGAGAGACAGAGCATAAGTGAGTTATCTGATGCCCCCCAAATATATTTTCCCTGTGGTAGCAGTGAGAGGGGAACAAATTCAAGGCAAACCTCCAATAATTAGATTCTATATCTGGAAAATTATAACATGTATACATTTTCCATATATAAAATCTAATTAATCAGGGGTTGTCTTATTAATCAGGGCTGTCTATATTCAAGTAAATATGTTAAGAGATTTCATGTCCCCAAAATCTTTTTTAAATTAGAAGGCACTATTTTCAAAAATTATAGATAAATTTGTTTCCTTGTGGTAAAAAATTTAAGATGGTATACATACAGTGAAAAAAAGTGTTAGCAAAATTAAACGTATAAAAATCACCATGTAGCTACTTCGCCCAGTGTATGGGAAGACTGTGTATAGCACAATGCTTATTCAATATGGGCCTATATCAATATTGAATCCTAATGCATTTCTTTGATAAGAGAGGTAAAGGCCCAAAGCTCTATATGTACATGGAAATATACTGATTCTTTTAATCTACCCCGTAAGGAAATACATTTACCAAGGCTGCAATGGCCCCATTACAGTAAACAAATTAATTAAATGCCACTGTTTTCTTTCAGAGGGCTCAAGAGAAGGAAGTACTGCTCCCACTGTACTCCTGGGGAATTAAAGGAAGAGCAAGAGCTTGCCTTGTGCTACATCAGAAGTCTGTGGCAGAATAAGAAAGCAATTGCAGGCTCCAGTCTGTACTATTAAAAAAGACATATATATCCTTCTCCTTTGGGAAGGCTGTTGATATTAGGACTTCCGTACACAAAGCACTTCCCATTCTCAAGCACTCTTGGGACGTGGGTGGGAAATAATCACAATTTTACTAATGAGCAACCAGGCAGTGAATTAACACTTCATGAAAAACACACATGCCTAAATAACCCATATGGTCCCTGCAGGGAGCGGGGGGTGAGAGAGGGAAGGAAGACTCCTGGGTGTTTTCCAAGGGTCTTATTTTTAGACACTAAACAGTTTTGTTGAAGCATCTTCAAAATATTTTTTCACCCACAACTAGCTACTGTTCGCCTATTTGTGCTATTAGTCTTGCTGCTTTTCAGTGATTGCAGATGTCATGGCCTTGCAAGCAGCTTCCTGTCATAGGGGGAAAATCAGCAACACAGTCTGGATAAGCTGTTTGTGCAAACAGTTTATTCCATAATAGATACGCTAGTTGTTGAACACAGCTGCTCCCAAAAAAGGCACACAAACCCCTCCTTTGGGAAACTCGGCCAGAACACCAACGCCCGGCTCTATAGAACAAATCTGAAAGACGAAGCCGAACGGAGAGCAAGCTCCACTGCAGTGCCACAGTTGTCCCCTAAATTAGACTCCATCACAAATGAATGCAAACAAAAGCACAATAAAATCTGACAGCGACTCAACCTTTCACTCAATGGAAAAGTGCCTGCATGCCGAGAATTGGCTCCCAAGAGCATAACAGTGCCTCCTGGCGAATCCCATCACATTTTCATTTATTACACAAGAGTGCCCAGGAACTACAAATAGGATCAGGGCCCCATTCTGTGCAGCTCTACACACATATAGAAAGAGCTTACAAGTTGTCTACAGAGAGCAAACCGGACCTGCAGAGAGCAAACCAGGAAAGCCAAGGCTGCCATGGAACTCCAACTGGCTACAAGTATCAAGGACAATAAAAAGTTCTTTTTTAGATATGTGGGGAGCCGGAGGAAAAGCAAGGGCAACATTGGATCCCTGCTAAACCAGATGGGACAACTGACAACCAAAGCCCAGGAAAAAGCAAACTTGCTAAATGGGTACTTTACATCAGTTTGTCACCAGTCCCATGGGACAACTCTGCCCACTGTGGGACAGGGAGGCCCGGGCGAGGGAGATTCCTTACGATCCATCAAAGCTGACCTTGTGAAGGAACACCTTGACCGGCTGGGTACCTTCAAGTCAGCCGGCCCTGATGGTTTACACCTAAGGGTACTTAAGGAGCTGGTGAGCATCATAGCTCAGCCCCTGGCACGGATCTTCGAGAGCTCCTGGCGCTCTGGTGTAGTGCCTGAAGACTGGAAGAAGGCCAATATGGTGCCCATCTTCAAAAAAAAGGGAGGAAAGTGGATCCGGCAAACTACAGGCCCATCAGCCTGACCTCTATCCCAGGGAAGGTCTTGGAAAAGTAGCCAGCACGGGTTTGTTGCGGGTAGGTCTTGCTTGACCAATCTCATTTCCTTTTATGACCATGATCACCTCTTGGCAAAACTGGCTAACTGCAGCCTCAACCTCACCATGATCTGCTGACTGGGGAATTGGCTCCACGGCAGGACCCAGAGGGTGGTGGTTGATGGAAGTCAATCATCATGGTGCGCTGTGACCAGTGGGGTCCCTCAGGGCTCTGTCCTGGGGCCCTTACTTTTTAACATCTTTATCAATGATGTAGACATTGGTGTCAGAAGCAGACTGGCCAAGTTGGCCAACGACACCAAACTCTGGGGTAAAGCATCCACACCTGAGGACAGGAGGGCAATCCAGGCAGATCTTGACAGGCTCATGAAATGGGCGGATGAGAAAATGATGGTGTTTAACACGGAAAAAATGCAAGGTTCTCCACCTTGGGAGGAAAAACCTGCAGCATCCTTATAGGCTCAGCAGTGCTATGCTGGATAGCACTACAGATGAAAGGGACTTGGGGGTCTGGATTGACCACAAGAGGAACATGAGCCTTCAATGTGATGCTGCGGCTAGTAAAGCGAGCAAAACGCCGGCTTGCATCCATAGATGCTTCTCAAGCAAATCCCAGGACATCATTCTCCCCTTGTACTCGGCCTTGGTGAGGCCGCAGCTGGAGTACTGTGTCCAGTTTTGGGCTCCACAACTCAAAAAGGATGTGGAGAAGCTTGAGAGAGTCCAGAGAAGAGCCACGCGCATGATCAGAGGTCAGGATAACAGACCTTATGATGAGAGGCTGAGAGCCATGGGACTTTTCAGCCTGGAAAAGCACAGGCTCAGGGGCAATCTGGTGGCCACCTATAAGTTTATCGGGGTGCTCAACAGGATCTGGGGGAACACCTGTTCACCAGAGTGCCCCAAGTGATGACAAGATCGAATGGTCACAAACTTCTCTGTGACCGTTTCATGCTGGACATAAGGAAGAACTTCTTTACTGTCTGAGCCCCCAAGGTCTGGAATAGACTGCTGCCGAAAGTGGTTCAAGCACCCACTTTGAATGCCTTCAAGACACTTTTGGATGTTTATCTTGCTGGGATCCTATGATTCCTGTTGACTTCCTGCCCCTGGGCAGGGGGCTGAACTCGGTGATCCTCCAGAGTCCCTTCCAGCCCAAATGTCTATATCTACATTAAGACCAGGACAAAGGCTGCATAAAAAAGGCGGAGGAGGAGGGAGGGGCAGAACGAGAATTACGTGTACACCGACAGCATGCACTACCCAACGGCTCAGACTCATTTGCCTAAATTAATTTAAGCAGCCTCAATTCATAAAATACCAACACTATGATCTCACTAATCTCAGGAAGTGACCTTGGGTTTGCCACCAACGTCACTTGTTTATTCTCTTTCTAAGTAGACCAGGCTTCCACGGGATCCATTTAAATAGAGGTGTCAAAGTTCCAGCCTGCGGGCCAGATCCAGCCCATAAAGCCCTATCATCTAGCCCCTAGTGGTACTCATGGGTCTTGGAGTCGTCTCTAATGTCATCACATGCCCCACGCAGCCCTAGCCTCTGCGCGTGTCCTGGAGCAGGACTACCCTGCACACAGCGCCCACTCTGGCCACTTCAAGACGTGCTGGACCCGGCCTGCGGAGCTGGTCTGTGGGCACAATCCAATCTGTTCATCCAGTCCACAGGGCTGTAGGAGTTTGACAACTCTGCATTTAAAGATGCCACACTATATCAACACTATTAGGTGTACAAGAATGATTCACACAATAAACCCTGAGATTTCAAATGGGACTCCACAGTGTCAAAAACATCCTACACTGTTGTGGTCTTTCTGAGTTCTCAACAGAAGAATTGGTTTTCTATGCTTCTGTAGCCAAAAAACAAATGAAAGCTCATCTTCCAAGCGATGCTCTGAGTCAACCAAGGGGTCCCTTAAGTCTAAAACTGTTGAGAGCTACTGACCTTGGCATACATCTACAAAAGCACTATTAGTTTCCCTTTTAAATTAAAGAAAGGAGGAAGAAAAAAGCCCAACACTCACCATGTCCTCTGATAAGGAATTCCCCTAAAAGTGTTGCGCAAAGCCCATGCTGGTCTAAGAAACTACCAAAATGCCAAGTGTTCCCCACATTTTCTGCAGCTGCTTTAGGGCATGACAGGCATCAATCAAGAGAAAACAGACATCCCTTCAACAGCACATGCCCAGACACACTTGCTTTCTTTTTCTAAATAAACTTCTGAAAAACAAAAATGGGAAAACTTTATTGTGGCATTCACCCAGATTTCAAGTCAGCTGTAAATTGGCAACCAAGGTTCCTCTTCCTTCATCTAGGCTCAGAGCAGAACGGCATTTCTCAGGCTTCCTGGTTTCTTTTGCCATCAGCCCATTCTCCTAAATTTGCAGCCAACTACACAGTGATATCAGTCTAAGGAAAAGGTCAAAGAAAGCAGCAACCTGAGGTGAACAACAGGAATAAATGCTTGGAAGTGTGCCATAACATTTATTTTTGCAAAACATGCCGCTTACTGCTTTGTACACAACCTCCAAGCTACATTTCTGTGTCCTGAAACAAATGATCATCTCTTCACCCAAACTTCGAAGCTGAGGAAAGATTTCATTAGCATCCACATTTGCCGTAGTGCTCAAGTCGCAATTTAGTATTAAGTGCGTCTAAATCCAGTGAAAAGGCAAATCAGTCCGAAACACTGCTACATATCAGGAGGAATCCCAAGACAGACTCGTATCTCAATACCATGGCACCTGAACTCCAAAGACCCGGGGGAAAAGGAATGCATCTTAATGCCTAAAGCATTATCGTGCAAATGAAACTTCGGAGGTGACCAATTAAATTATCTGAAACTTCATCTATGAATACAGTGTCTAAAAAAATAACTTAAAGGAAAGGATCTCTCTCCCAGATATCTTTTACTCGATCAGCTGCATATTTGGGACAGAATCATAGAATAATGAGGGTTGAAGGGACCTCAGGAGGTCACATCCAGTCCAACCTCCTGCTCAAAGCCGGACTATCCCCAACTAGATCATCCCAAACCAGGCTTTGTCTAGCCGGGTCTTAAAAACCTCCAAGTTTACCACCTCCCTGGGTAACCTGTTTCAGTGCTCTACTATCCTCATGAGAAAATTTTTCCTAATATCTAACCTAAACTTCCCTTGCTGCAACTTGAGCCCATTGCTCCTTGTCCTGTCATCTGCCACCGCTGAGAACAGTCCAGCTCCATCCTCTTTTGAACCCCGCTTCAGGTAGTTGAAGGCTGCTATTAAATCCCTGCTCTGGCTTTTCTTCTCCAGACTAAATAAGCGCAGTTCTCTCAGCCTCTTCTCTCAAACAGGGGGTCTACCGAACTCGAAGCAGCTGCCAGCCAATTTCATGGGTAGATCATGGGCGTGAAGTGTACTCTGTCCAAGTTCGTGGACAATACTAATTGTGGGGGGAAGCGAACACACCGGAGGGTAGGGAACGATTGCAGGCGGACCTGGACAAGTTGGAAAAGTGGGCAGTACACAATAGGATGCAGTTCAACAAGGACAAGTGCAGAGTGCTGCACCTAGGGTGTAAAAATATCCAGCACACCGACTGGCTGGGAAGTGACCCTTTCAGCAGCACAAAAGAAGAAAGGGATCTCAGACTTATCATGGGCACCAAGACGAACACGAGTTGTCAGTGTGATGAAATCATCAGCAAAGCTAACTGCACTTTATCATGCATTAGCAGATGCATGACAAATAGATCCAGGGAGGTAATACTTCCCCTCTATGCGGCACTGGTCAGACTGCAGTTGGAGTACAGCGTCCAGTTTTGAGCACCGTACTTTAAGAAGGGTGTGGATAACCTGGAGAGGGTCCAGAGGAAGGCCACTCACATGGTTAAGGGTTTGCAGGCCAAGCCCTAAGAGGAGAGACTGAGGGACCTGGATCTCTTCAGCCTTTGTAAGAGAAGGCTGAGAGGTGATCTTGTGGCTGCCTACAAATTTATTAGGGGGACACAGCAAGCAATCGGAGATGGTCTGTTCACCAGGGTGCCTCTTGGGGTAACAAGGAGCAATGGTCACAAACTGACAGAACAGATTTAGGCTAGACATCAGGAAAAACTTCACAGTAAGGGTGGCCAAAATTCAGGATGGGCTTCCAAGGGAGGTGATGCTCTCCCCTACCCTGGGGGTCTTTAAGAGAAGACTGGATAGGCATCTGCCTGGGGTCATCTGACCCCAGCGCTCTTTCCAACCCAGGACAGGGGGTCGGACTCGATGATCTACTGAGGTCCCTTCTGACCCAAACATCTATGAATCATGGGACTGGCAGCTACATCCACAGGCTGAGCACAGCAGCCCCTCCACATCTATTTGACCAAGGGGCCCCAGTAGTCCCAGCCCTCACCACTGATTGGCTGTGAGGGCTTTTTGTCATGCAGTCCTGCCCCTCACTGTTAACTGGCTGCAAGCACTGATTGGTGGGCAGGGGCGGGGCCGTATAATGGCTAGCTCTCACAGTCGCTCAGCAGCAAGGGGTTGTGGGGGGCAGCAGTCATCTCCCCATGCCAGCAGCCCCCCTCCCTCCTGGCAGGCTGTGCAGCAAATTATCCAGAATAATTCATTTACATCACTGTATTTTGTGTAGATTTACAATCTGCCGTGTTCCTGAAGCCAAATAAAAAGGATTTCACTTTCGAAAGTAACGGACTCCAAGTAGGTTAAGAACCAGTCACACAAACAGCCAACACAACACAACTCTGTAAAACACTCTTAGGTTAGCATATGTAGTCCAGAACAATGGTTTTACTAAGCGGCTTGGACACGTCTCTTTTCACAATTGCATTTTTTGCCTACGTTCAACTGCTAAATAACAGCGTGATGTGTGCCTCTCTGTTCAATGCCACAGCGTAGAAATGGCTCAACATCAAGACTCTAAGATTTGAGTTTCATCTTCCATGTGCTATTCTTAGCTTTCAAGCATGCAACAGTCAACTTTATTTACAACAGACTGCAATGCATCAGAATACTGAATAATACCCTTTTTACATTTTTTGTCTAAAAAAAACATAAGCTGAAAGCCTATATTAAAAACACAGCAAGGATTCAAAGGTTGAGATACACGCACAAGTTAAGCAGCGCCAGTATCAAGGTCACCCATCTTTACTGACATGATCTCATACTCTTTTTCTTGACCGCAGTACCCTAGACTCACTAAGCGCACAGGATGGGTAGTTACTCAACGAGCAGCTAGTCAGCATTTTGTTCCCCCCTCATTGCTCACTGGGTGGCCTCACATCTTATTTACAGCCTCCTCTAACAGCGTTACGTTTTCTAACAAAGCCTTTTCTCATCATTCAGCACTACGGTGCAAGTCCTTCTCTAAAAACATGTTACCCATTTTAAAGGCTGGAATTGATGGACAGATATACTTCTAGCCTTCATGTCACTAAACATCAGGTGCCCAATCTGAGCCAACTTGGACCTCATTTTTCAGAGTACTGGGCATGTCACAGCATTTCATACATTCAAGAATCATACCTTCCATCAAATTCATATGCACTTGTGCGTGCCCACCACTTCTGCAAACCAGCCCTGAGAGTATCAAATTAATTGCCCAAATATGAGAGACAAACAGTGAACGACCACCTAGGATAAGTTTGGCTTAAAACCAGTTAACTAGCATCAAACTGAAACTTTTTGGCAGAACCAAAGACAGAATCCAGTTCCTCTCCAGGGTAACACTCAACTGCCTAAACTATAAGGTGGCCTTTTCCCTTTCTGCACTTTCACTCCTTCATTCACTGCATAACTTGCAGATTCTGTAGCAAATGAAGCAGGACTCATTTCCTGCCCAGCCCTCATTCATCAGCTCAGCAGGTTCACTCTGTGCCTGAATAAGACAGGGCTCTGGTAAGAAAAACACTATGTGACCAGGTGCTTAAAGACTATTGAAAAGCACTTGCAGAAGGCAGATAAATTAAGGCTGGACAAAGAACCCAAATTCTGGCACGTGCCAACTTCTCAGAGCTCATCTTTACAGCTTTAGTTCTGCCTGTCTCAGGTTTTTGGGTCATGCCCTGGTTTCTAAAAACACAAATGGAAACGTTAACACACAGGATTGTACCAATATCCATATGGGTCATCAGCTTACAGCTTCAACTCCACCACCATGCTCTACCTCGTCAGTCATGAAAGGGCACCCTCCAGCACTACAAGGGGAAGAAAAGCACGCTTTGCCAATGAGTTTCACTGAGATTTGCTGGCAAAACAGCAATGGCGAGACTCGGAAAACTTGGGCTCCATCCTCAGGCTCTGGAGGGGAGTGAGCCTACTGGGCACAGACCCCTCTACCCTTTCCCCATCCCCAGTCTTGTCGTTGTCTCTTGCCCAGCCGATTTCCATTTCCCACGTAGCACTCAGTACCAGTTTCCATCCCCCAATAACCGTGCCTTAATCTATGCAGCCTCCAACCATACAGAACAGGCTTCTGTCCCCTCCACATCTGATCGTGGAGTCCTCCTACCCAAGTCCCAAAAGGTGGGAGAAAACAGGAGAGCCTCAATTCAGGTACCCATGTCCTGAAGCAGGGCAGTGCCGCTCAGCCCTAGCCCAGAGCATCTCTGGAGGATTTAGCTACCGGACTCTAAGCGTGTGTGAAATGCAATTTTTCAGAGACTTACAACAAGGACAAATTTGGGTACAAGTTATAGAAGTTAAAGCTCTAACAAAAATACCAACTCTGATAAATTTTCCGTTTGCTGCACCAAAGCATGAGAGCACTACAATTTTTCAGGTAAAAGACTCCCAAATACTTAAACATGTACAAACAACATCTTTTCCCCTTAGCCTCACTTCCTAAAATGGCTGGACTGTTTTGGCTAGTTTTCAAAAAAGCAATTCACCCTGAGGCAGATACCAAGCACTGAACATTTCGATCCATTTAGTTAGTTTGGCAAAAATATAGGCGACTGAAAACAGGGTATTTTAACAAGTTACAGGAAAACTTAACAGGAAGGGCTACCAGTCACATTTATAAGATCAGTCTGCTCTGGTGAAGGAGAAAATGTGTCCGTTAATAGCCTTATGGAAAGCAACAGCCCTTGTACTCATGGCTTAATTTTTATATTAACCGTGCTATTCTGTACAGGGTCTCCATACTCTGCTCCTAACCACAGTAGCTGAGCACTTGTTGGTAATGCAATCAGCAACATAACTAACATCTGCCACCTTGTCTGTGCAGTGCACTGTTTTTGTAACTAATTTATAATTACATGGGTTTATATTAGAAGGCAAGTTTGGTTCACCCCCCACCCAAAACACTACCCAGCCCCCCCTTGCCTTTGGATGGTCTTTCACTCCTGCAGAAGCTCATTCCACAGAGAATGATTCAAAGCATAAGGGACTTAATATCTAATAGCTGTGTTAAAATTCCCCACTCAAATTTAGCACTGGGATTAAGACAAACAGTCTAGAATATACTCAAGGGAGGCTTATGCCATTCCTGCCCTGCCTGGCTTTACAGCTTTTTCCTTCAAGGCCCTATGCTATGATGCTGCTCAAACCAGAGCAGAACAGGACCAACCAGCTGGAGTGTGGAGAGCGACACATATTCTTTCTCCTGCATAATGAACACAGGTTTCCTTCCTTGCAGTCCAGGATGCTCCTGGGTGCAGTTCCTATCTGACTAATAAACTGAGCACCCCTAGTCTCACATTTACCTCCCCAGAGTCACTCCCTGCATCTAACCCTGAGTGGCCACTGTGAACTCAATAACTGGCATGAGCAAGGACTGCTGAGTGGTTTTTAACACTGTTTGTAAACATGAGTTATAAATAGAGTGTATTATCTCTATGCAGAGAAATCTAAAATGGAGCCATTCACCATGTCAGACATCCTGTACAAGAAATCAGAATGAGTGCGGGCAACCGGGATACAACTGGCATATTAATTCAGGTTCCCAGGACCAAGGCAGCTCCCTACAGCACTGTGCTACTGTAACTCCACAACAGCATGCAGTGATTTATTATTTACACATCGGAGGTGTGGCTGGTGCTTTTCAGACTGCTCTCGAGATTACTATTGTGTAACTGCATCAATTCAATCAGCCTTCACTTGGCGTTCACTTTTCTTTTTTCTTTTTTTAGGTTCGCTTTTGCATTATAGTGTTGTACCAAAATGTGGAGAGAAGCAGCCAGTTTTCACAGACCTGACAAGGGAAATCAAAGGCTGATTGAGGCTGTAGCAGACAGTACAGAGCTGCCAACAGGAAAAGGAGAGGGGACAATGGAGACATTAAGAAAGCATCTCAGAGTACAGGAAAGTGCCCAGGTGCAAGTGGGACAGAGTTCCCACTTATTCAAGCTTTATCATTAAAGGAATTAAGTATTTGATTGGGTGTGCGTGCTTTTAAATCTTAAGTTTTCAAATGACAATCTTCTGCAACTCAACTTGAGGCATCTTACGAGCCCTGACTGCCCAAGACTGAGTGAGCGTCTAACATTTCCTGGAAGGCAGGGCTCTACAGGGTGTCTTAAACTGGACCTAAAAAAATGAATCTTCTAAATATCATTAGTCGTATTTGACAGTTTAGCTGCAAAGCATTTATCCAACAGGAAGACAATCTTGAACACCAAAGAAGACAATGGTGGTAGGAGGGAGAGATGATCCTGCCAATTGGTGACTGGCTTCTTGATGTCACAATTACAGCATTCAACTATGAACTGGTTTAGCAACACTAACAAGGGTTTTGGGAACAGGGAAACGTAAAGCTAGAGAGGGAGAGAAGGGAAGGGAAGCAATCATGTCGATTCTGGAACAGAACTGTCAGGTAATAACCCCCTTATTTTGCTTCCTCTCCTGTGAGGTTGCATGCACTGCCTGCAAAGGGGAAAAAGGCTTGAAACAAATTTAAAATCCACCTCCCACGTCCCAACAAAATTCCACAGATAAGAATCCCAGGACTTTTTTTTCCCCCACTAGGAAAGAGGAGAGGGAGACAGAATGAGCACAGGACAGGCAGAGATGAGAATAAAGAGGAAGAGATAAGGGAGCGGAAAGTTCAGCAAAGCATCGTAAGAAAACTGAACACCAGAAGTGATGCATCTAAACTTCCTCACTAAGCAAAATATTACAGGCCTTGAATGTAATGGGCATGCTGGCTTGTTCTCAAGAATCCAGCATCGTTCAAGGCCAGTTATTAGGAACTATGTCATTCTTACGTGCTGCACAGATGTCTAAGTAACGCTTGGTTACAATATTGACATAAGCATCTAACAAAAACAAAGAAAATTAAGATGCGAATGAAAGGTCAGCCTACTGCAGAGGCTACAGAGCACCACGCACATGTGCTACAATAACCTACATTACTTGGCTTTACTAGCTTAATTTATGTTTTTTAAAAAGCAGATTGGGAAACAACAAATATTGCCCTTTGGGAGCTCAGATACTCCTAAAACGCACATGCCACAGGAGTCTGGATAGATCTTGCCTACAAAAAACATGGTCTCTCACTTTGGGAATAACTCCAAGTTCAAAAGGCAGGACCCTTTTCCAAGCTGAGCCTCACTCTTCGAACATTTGCAGCAGCTGCTTGCTGATGGAAAAAAAAAAAAAACTTTGGCTTTAAAACACTGCAGGGTTTTTCACAGCCTTACAGTTTTCTTCGCACTCATAGTCTGATATGCAAAATGCTCCCATTACATTACCCCCAAGTCAGCTGGGATTACAGCTTTTATTGGCCATGTCCACTGTCTTTAGAATTCACTTCCCACAATACTGCTCCACAGAGTGCACTGGCAGTAATCATTTTAATAGGCAGAATTAATACACACTTCTTTGTCTTTCAGCCACAAGATATTCCATTTCCTTAATGCCCACGCATCTGCTCAGAGAGGCTGATCCTTGCATCAAGGTCAGTGCTGCTAGTTAACGATAGATAAATAAGTAAAATCAAATAAGGTTCCTACAAAAAGGTTGACAAAAAAAAAAAAAGGCTTAGCATGTTTTAATTAACATTTTCTTGGCTTTTTGTGAGGCATTTTGATACAAAGCGAAAAATTACACTGCTGTAATGCTGCACCCCTGAGTCAGAGCCTTCTTTTGCTATCTGTATTAGTTGATTTGTTCAGGTATTTGCTTATCTGTCATGATTCCAGCTCAAATGGGCTCACGGCTTTTACTTCTAGTAGGTAGAAACTTGTCATTTTGTCTCTCTCAGTCTTTTATGCTCCAAGTAGATAACCTCACAGCTTGTAAGCAACATCAACACGTCATAAGGAAAGCATCCCAATAAGCATCATTATCAAAGACACGGGGAGCCTTGGCTAGCAACAGAACATTGACACTCAATGGGGAAGAAATGTCTTTCTGTGCCAGCTCATACAAATGAGGAGTACTCAGGAACAGACACTACAGGCGTGACTGCCTAGAAAATTCCAACCTGTAAGACCTGTCTCATTAAAGCAGCATCCAGAGACACCAGGATACTTAATCCACAGTATTTTACAAATTTCCACAGCATAATCCAAGAGGCAAATATCAAGGCGGCAAACGCTATAATAAATGGATGGAGCTAAAAGGACAAGAAACCAGGGATATATGGTTTACTTACAGTAGTTCTGAAGGAACTTAATAAGGAAGTAGCAAACAACTGCATACAATCTTCTCCTGAAATTCAGCTATCCGGTAGAAGGAACAAATGTTACCTTGTCTGCCATACATCTACTGTACACTTCTAAACTAAAAGTGACGGTGATCATTAGATGTTTGTTCAATACTAGATCAACTGACTGAAATTGCAATAAACCATGACATTTTTAAGTACCTAGAGGAACGTGATAAAACAGACGTGCCTTCTCTTAGGGAGGAAAATCATGTTTCTCTAATTTACTAAAATTTTTTTTTTAACTCATCAGTAAATTCAGCACATAAATGAGAGCCAGCAGATATAACTTATTTGAACTTCAAAAGTCTTTGGCAGAAATGAATATGAACGTAGAACTGTGCGTCCTTGGTGCCGTTCCACTGGATGTGTTAGAATTTCTTTTTAATTTGCCAGAGTGGCATTCAGGGGTTAGTGTTCAGCAGTCTGAGAAAATCTGGTATTCAAGTCTTTTCTGATCTAACTGACAATTCTGGACCTGTTTGTTTGGTGACACGCTCCGAGATCCATT